CTGCCTCAAAGTTCGACGTACTGTGCGTTCAGAGATGCTCTTCTGCCTACCTTGGTTGTAACGGGTGGTTATTTGAGTCACTGTTGCCTTTCTATCAGCTCGAACCAGTCTGGCCTTTCTCCTCTGACCTCTGGCATCAACAAGGCATTTCCGCCCACAGAACTGCCGCTCACTGGATATTTTTTCTTTTTCGGACCATTCTCTGTAAACCCTAGAGATGGTTGTGCGTGAAAAGCCCTTCTGGCACCAACAACCATGCCACGTTCAAAGCCACTCAAATCACCTTTCTTCCCCATACTGATGCTCGGTTTGAACTGCAGGAGATTGTCTTGACCATGTCTATATGCCTAAATGCACTGAGTTGCCGCCATGTAATTGGCTGATTAGAAATTAAGTGTTGACGAGCAGTTGGACTGGTGTACCTAATAAAGTGGCCGGTGAGGGTAGTTCATTGTTGTTAAGAGTCATATGATTGAGTTACAAATGGGCTGATTTGCCTGATTTTGGTACATTGTTTCATTTCCCACAGTGTGAATGGGATCAGTGGCGTGCAAGAGACCTTTGGAGGGGCAGATGCTCAAAGTTCACAAGGGGTCACATGGAACTTTTTGAAATGACCTGTACACACAACAGAAATACAATGTGTGCACAGAATGCTCATTTGTGGCCATTCGAAACAAATTTATATCACCCTGTTGAGCAACTGGGTAAGCAAATCGAGAGCGTCTCTTCTGGAAACGGTGAGGCAGATTCCAAATAGAATTTCATTTTTGGCTGAGAAAGAGCTACAAAGACGTTCTTGGAAACCTTACAGTGCATTGCAGGCAATTGATGAGAACCAAATCCGAAAAAATGTTTGCCCTTCAGGACCGCGGTCAGTGCAGTTTACAGCAAAAGATGCACGCCGTTTGCTCACCCAGGTCTCACGGTTATTCATGACAATACCGACCTTTGCAAACCGCCGACGTTTCACTTTTTCACGTTTTTTGGGGGGGCCTGGGGGGCCGAGATGCTAAGGGCGCCGTGGGCTCTAGAGGGCGCCAAAATCGGCTGAAAATTCACCTTCAATATCCATTAAGTACGAATAACTCTTAAAAGGAAAGAGGAATACATTGAAATCAATTCAAACAATTAAATAAGTGAAGAGAAGCAAGGTGATGTAATTTGAAATTGGCCATCCTGCCCGTGCGAGCGGCGGTCACTTGCATTGCATTAGTCTTCGTTGCTGTATATTTCAAAATGTATGATGTGCAAGTTGCACTTACAATATATGAACATAAAAGGGTCATAAAATGAGTAACAAAATTTGAAATACTAATACACATTTATATATATATATATATATATATATATATATAGAGAGAGAGAGAGAGAGAGAGAGAGAGAGAGAGAGAGAGAGATAGATATACAGATAGAGTGAGTTGAAGCATTTCATTGGCTCTGTTCTTCATTTGTACTTTCGAGATGTAAAACATCTGGCATAGTTAACCACGTGAAGGGCAGTCTGCAATTGTGTGTTTCCATTTGTGTATTGTGCATTATTACAATGCAATTGATTCCATGTTAATTCTCCATTCCTTCCATTTTCTGCACCACTTATTCTCATGATGGTTTCAGGCAAGATGGGAGTTTTCAGTTTTACCCAAAGGTATTAAGTTTTATATTCCATAAACAATTTCATATTAAAGGTCAACAAGAAGGTATAAATAAAAAGTACGGAACATTAAGAGAGATATGGAGAAAAGTGGAACGTGTAAATGTAAGGCTGTCATAGAAAGAGAATTGTGTATTACGTTTCTTTTTCTACATCCGCTTATTTACAGCGTGCCATGATGATCGACTGGTTAACACGTCTGCCTCACAGTGCAGAGGTACAGGGTTCGATTCCAGCTGCGGCCTTCCTGTGTGGAGTTTGCATATTCTCTCCATGCCTGTGTAGTTTTTCTCCAGCTACTCCGGTTTCACCCCGCATTTCAAAGAACATGCATGGTAGGTTAATCGAACACCCTAAATTGTCCCTGTAGCTGTGATTGTGAGTGTGAATGATTGTTTCTCTATGTGTGCCCTGCCATTGGCTGGCTGCCCGAAGACACCTGGAGTAGCCTCCAGCACACCCGCGACCAAGTTGACCTAAATTCAAATGTAAAGCACTGCCCACTTAATTACTGCAAGTGATAAAACACTGGGGGGAAAAACTTTGTTGGCTATACATAAAAAAAAGCATGCATTCACATGATTTTTGTCAAGTTTAATAAGACGTTGCAACAGCAAGTAGCTCACATGATCTGTTGGACAGAAGTGAAAATGTTGCATGTTGTATTTTCAATTGTGTGACTTTTATGAATTAAAGGAAATGGGACAAAGTCAGCTTCATTTGTAAAATAGTCGATTAAAGGGCAATGCCACATAAAATCTCGGCCGGCCTAGCTAACGCCTCACATTTCAGACCTGCATTTTTTCCTCAACAAAATATGCTCAAAAAGTGTGTAGTATACATTTAATTTGTGAGGTTTCCAGAAATCAATACATCCAGTCACAGCAGCAACAACTAACACAAGTGGGAATCAGCTCAAGTCCATTTGACCATCCGCTCTGCTAAATGTGTCAGTAAAATTGCAGTTATTGTGCTTCAACATTGTTTCTGTCAAGTTTTGAAGCATCCAAAGCATAAACGCGACCCTGTTTTGAAGTATTTCTTTGAGCTCTTCAAATACGGCCAACACCTTCCTGAGTCGTTTGCAGGAAAAGTTTACCACATGTGAGACTTAGCGATCTGTGCGGCAAAAATGTCAAACTATCACGACATTTAATACACATAAAACCATCCAACAGCTTCAGCACAAAAAGCTTCATTTTTAGCAAATGGGTCAAAAGCTGCACTCTGATTAGTTGTACTGTCACAACAAATTCCTGAACTTTGGCTCATTGTCGACATCTTTAAACTGAGTTTTTTCCAGAATAAATACCAAATAAGTCAAAATAAAAACATGTTTTGGGAATGTAAACAGCAAAAAACATTTTAAAGTCATAATATTGGGAATTACTTTCCATTCAAGACTTAATCCAACAAGGTGCCACATGGAGATCCACAAGTGACTTATTTATACACACATAACTTTTGTTAAATATACACAAATAAATAAAAAATACAGAGACATACGCACACAACTGCACTGAGTGTTAGGAGACGATACATTCCACCATGTGGCTTTGTTGAAAATAATAAGGTTTGTCTACAACGGTCCAAAAAAAAAAAAAGTACCAGCTGCCACTCAATGAAGCCAGCATTCAGCTTTTGGCTGGTAACATCCTTCAAGACACTACAAAAGTAAAGCTTTCACCTACAACTACCCCAACAGACGCTGAAAGTACAAGAACAACATCAGCTAACAACAACAACAACAACATGATTAAGAGCCTTTTCTTAGGTGCTAACATTTGCTGTCATCAGAACAACATATAAGTTAAGTTTATATCAAGTTCTGTGCAAGACGCTTTGAAGTGGCGATGCTGCCTCCAGACATTTTACAGCATGCTATCCAGGTTCTTTTCTGCGTTCTCCTTTGCCGCCGGGCTTTCCGGAGGACTGTACAGATTGTGATAGTCGCGCAGGATGGTGACCACATCATGGTGGCCGAAGTGAACCGCCTCATCCATCGGCGTATTGCCCCACCTGCAACACAAATCATCATCCTTTGTAATCTAATCCACTGTCTGGGCAATTGGCTGAAAATCAAGCATGATCATGCCTCTCACAGAGTGGTTCTCAAACGGGTTACACAAAGTACTACTTAAAAAAATATTCCTCCCTCCAAAGTACTAGCACCATGAGCAACATTGAAACAGAAATAGACTGTAGTGTAGTTAGCCCAAGGAGTCATCAAATTGAGGCAGGGGTTTTATTCCTAAAAAATACATTGACTCAGACATAATGGCAAGAATATGCACAGGAATGTATTATTTATCCTCTGCAAAGAACAACTAAGGCGGAGAAAAAAAAGTAGTGTGTTTCCGGTAACCCGACCGACCGAGAATTTCTACGTCGAAAAAAAACTTGACGGTTGGCATTTTTTTCAAACAACCCTCTACATTTTTGTGTAGAGGGTTTACGTCGGTGCAAACTCTCGCGATATTCACGTTGAGCGCGTGCATCGTTTGCCCTGTCGTCTGTCAACAACATTGAATCATGGCGGCGGCCGCGATCTCTGACGACAGTTTAAACCGCGTTTTCTGTGTTCCAGTCACATGCTCGCACCGTAATGTTAAGAAAATAGCATCCATTGCTGTATCGAAAAAATTCAGTGAACTATTTGATGAACACCACGGGCCG